GGGGGGGGGGGGATGTCGCGAAACCTTTCCCTGTCCGCACCAGAATGTTGTGAGCGGCGCCAGCTGGTGGAGGGCGCGCGTGGTGGCGGGAGTAAGGACTAGCTGGTGTAGCGGACAGGATGGAACGACCATGAGACGTCGTGGACGAATGATGTACCGGCGTCGTTTTTTGTTAATGTTGCTTGTTTTTCCGCTGGTAGGATTTTGCTGCGTTTTCCTGAAGAAGGCTACGACACGCCGGGCGCAAGTATTGCAGCGGTTCAGAACGGGGGCAGATTCAATGCTGGGTATTGATCGGCTGTAGAACGAGCTTCAGGAGCACTCCTCGCTGCTACCAACGACACGCTGCGTCCTGGCTGCCGCACCCTTGCAAGATCGTCGCGTGGAGACATATTTCCTGGTTCTCAACCCCGCCCCCAAATCCCGAAGGTCGCTCACCCCGGCCAGTTCTATGACAACCCAACCCTGACCAGTTGCCTGCGCTCCATGCCCCCGGGCATGGGAATACGTGCCACGCCCGCCAAGCGCTTTCCTTCGCGTGTGCCGAGCGCGGCCTTTACTCTCGTTCCCGCCTCTTTTGCTTGCTCCCTCCCCTTTCGGTTGTTTTCGTCGCTTCGCAGGTGACCGCGGAGGGATGCAAGAACCTTCTCCTGGCGGGAGTTAGCGCCACCCTCCAGGACCAAGCCTTGGCGCAACCGAGCGACATGGGCGCCAACTTCTTGCTCAGCGGCCAAGACGTGGGCAAGAACGTGAGGCGGCTTTCACTACTGCTGTGGTCGGTGAATGTAGTAGCATTCAGAGGAAAATGTTTTTTTTTAAGACGGGCGCAATTGTAGATGGCAGACGCGCAATGCTCAGCCCTCGTAGTCATGAGCACGAAAGGTAGCGTGGTGGCTTCTGCATTCAACAGCAACGGAAGAGTGTTGAGCAAAGCAGCAAGAATTTTGGGGCGCGTGGAGGTACAGTTGAGCGTAGGATAGCGTACTGCAACATTGCAGCGACTAGCTAGGCCTCGGCTAACACTTCGGACCGAGCTACAAGAACAGGAGGGGGTGGCCAACCGAGCGCACTCGACGCTTTCCCCTGCGGTAGTCCAGCAGTGCACCAGAGAAATATTGCGTGCTACGTGTGTGTAGATAGCTGTTGGCGGACCGTCTTCTTTTAACGCCAAGGTAAGCGCGCACGTCCAGCATCTTATCCCACCACGCGCTACCCTCTGCATACCACGCGCGTGGTGCACAGCAGTAGAAGATCATGACGGAGTGTACCTCAAGTCTGGGTCGCGGATGTGTTCGTGCCCAGAGCTGCACGTGTCAACCCCGAGGTTGCCCGGGCCATGTTTCTGTGGGCAGCGTAGGACGCCCACTGCGACAAAATTTCGCAAGAAATCGACAGCCCGTTCTGGTCCTCCAGCGAACCCCTCTGCATTTCCCCCCTCAGGGGGCATAAACAACCGCCCTCTGCTTGCCCCTGCCCCCCCCCCACATCCAATGGCTAGTGGACTAAACTGGCGTGAGGTACATGGGCACAACCTCAAACACCCCCCCCCTCCCCCCCCCGGTGTTTGCCATCGGGGTTGGGTTTTCGTCGCTTGGCAACGACGTTGTAAAACA